AAACTTCTTTTCAATATTTCGTGCCCATATAAGCACCTACATAGGTTGGACCTCATATGTTGTCGCTAGCTGCGAAAGCCTTGATGATTTGTAGTACATATCACATAGAAGCTGACCCTTCCCTTTTGGTGATTCGATAATGATAGAGAATATAGAACAGCCCCTAAAGCCTCAGAAGCTCTATGACAGTGGATTTCTATGACGGTCTTGAGATGCCTCATTGGCGTCTTTCGCAAAACTGACCTTAAGTGAAGAAACACCCATTCCCTTCACAATTCCAGCTATGCCGTAGGCGGCACCACGACGTTCACCATAGGATTCAGCTTCAAATAGGAGCCACTGCAGCTTTTGGATCAGCGTCTTAACCGAATCTCGAATAGCAGGAACTAGCGGGGAGAGGCACCGCGAGACCGATTCTTGCACCTGAACGACTATTTATTTTGCAATGCGCCATGTTATTGAGCAAAGAATTGAAGAAATAGAAAAATTTGCACTTAAAATAACAATCTATACCTGTTGACTGGGGGTCGAGAGGGCTTCCATCAGTCGAGCAACTATGTCACGAACTTTATCGGAAGAAGGATCGAGATATTGAGCTAGAGTCCCAAGAAGTACCACTAAACCTTGTCTCAGGTTGTCGTGCTCACCTCCACTTGGAGTGGTATCCGACAGATGCTCTGAAAAGATNTCAAAGTTATGAACAAGTGCGAGATGTGAGATTTGCTTAGTACACGCCAGAACTTCTTACCCAAAAATGGCAACAAATCATTCATGATGGCACGACCGTGCTTTCGAATTACTTCAACGGCCGCATCCCGCATCCCATTTCTACAGTCAGCGTGACGGTCCGCGAGTCCTTGTGGAACGACCTAGAAATAAACTAGCACTAACTCAGCTTCGGCAGTGGAGGGCTTTCGTGCTAACCACGACGACCAAATAAAAAAATCTGCAGCCCGTATTTGAAAAATTACCAATTTAATGAATTGCATTGCATCTTTGGCTTCCACGTGATCGGCCAAACGTCCTAAAACTTGACCGACACCACTACGTCTAGCCCATTCGTCAACGCTGTCCGACACCATTCGACCAACCTCATCGAAAACTGGAGGACGGATTTTAGCCAGGTCAGTGTACACCTGAAGATCATCCAATTATGATCTGAGCAAAGAACATCCTGATGATGCAAGGAAACGCGAGTAGAACAGCTGAGCCAGTTATAACTTCTGTCAAAAAAACTGTTAGGGTTTGAAACAGCGAAATTGCCCACTTGTAATATTCTTAACAAACTACACGTGACAGAACGGTAGAAAGAACTAGCCTCGTCCAGTTTAGCAAGAAGCATTGGCATTTTCTCCGGGAATTCTTGTACAAATGATGCAGTGGCACCCGCAGCAGACTGCCGAACAAAGGCCACTTTGGATACGCACTTCTCTACAAAAAGGTTCCGAGATTAATATTTACATTGGTTGATCTGATCCCAATGTACTGTCGAGCAAAAACGCAAAAATCAATAGAAATGGTAACTTTTGAACTCACCGATAAGAGGTTCAGCCATTTCAGGTCTTAGGTGAAATACTGATGCGTACCACAACTGGGATGCTTGCTCAGCTACAGGTTCTACAGCGTCGAACCGAGCCACGAATAGTCGAACAAGACATTCGAGAGCAAACTGGTTATCGTTTGACGACAATACGAGTCGAGTTAATAACTGCGGTGCCGACAATACCTAATAAAGCAAATTAAACATTCCAAAATACGACTGCTTGGATTTCACCTAAACATCCTCCACAACTGATTACACCCAAATTCCGTGTTCAAAACACAAAGTACATACTAGCAGGAATAGAAGATTTTCATTTTTTTTCCATTCGTAAGTACGACCTTCCCTTCAGTCAACAAATTACAGCCATCGTGAAAATCGGACTGAGCTTGACTCTAATGTCTCGGAACTACAGTTTTTAGAATAAGTGGCGGATGAAATTTGGATACCTTAATGACGTTTTCTCTCAAATCACAGCTATCATTATCGAGATAGTTAAGCGCACTTCTGGCCAAGCTGACAACACGTGGCCCGGTATCTTCCGTCTCATTCGCAAGACTGACAAGTTGTACAAGTGCCTGTAATTGGCTCCTTCAGTTATTGCATTTGAGTAGCATTGCAGGGTCCTTCATTCTACATTTATTGTGATTGAATTCTTGCAAAAAAGTAAACATAAAGGTATCCTAGTGAGAAGGGTTACCTGTCGCGAGTGAGAAGACAAACTCCTTGCATATTCTGAGAGCAATAATGTCGCGTATTCATTCATCGGCAATTGCAAAACAGAATTATCCTGAACTCTGACATAACCGCGCGAGAACCCTTTGAGTATTATAGTTCACAGACATTTCTCTAGATACACAGCCGGTTCGGGTAAACGAAGTGCCTGAGAAATCGAAAGTCCAACCTTCAAGAAACGTCGATGTATAGCGTTTTGCAAAAGTGTCAGAGTAGAGTCTCTGATATCGTCGCCGAATCGGCTAGAGGATGAAAGGAGCTCGCGTATCATCGGGTAAAGTACTGTCAATTGTGTGGCACCGACGACATCTTCGAAGATGAAGGTATCATCCTGGAAACTGAGCTCGATGGAAAATCAACTAGCTATTGGGAGAAAGCGCACCTCATCTCCAGTCTCTACAACGAATGCCCGCTCATTCAGTAGCTGAAGACATCGTTGGAGAGCTGCATTCAGTGGCTCATCTTGCCAGTTGGGCACATGATAATGAGCTCCAATCACCCGTAAAATAGTACTGCCCAGTAACTCGTCTACAAAAACTAGAGTTCAGTGTAAACTTCGTATTTGCCCAGAAAAATGACGAAACCATTTTTACCCAAATAGTCCTCAGTGTGAGGAAATGCAGCATCACGATATGCAAAGAATAATTCTGCGGCGTTTTTGGTTACAAGGTAGCTCTTGGTAAGTGGAATGCAGTAGTCGAAAAGAAGGCTCGTCCTGAATATGGAGTAGAATTGGGAACATTAAGAACACTTGGACCTANTGACCACGTCAAGAATTAACATATGATTGCATAAGCGATGCGAGCACATTCACATTCGTAAGGTATTACAAGGTTAACCACATGAACGAACCGAGCCATTGCTCCAACGTGATCTGCAGCCACCATAGCCCGAGCTTCATCTAATTTCGCTTCAGCAACAACGTATTTGTGACGCATTTCATCTCTTATTTCCTAAGTTTGCAAGTGCAATCAATCTAAGTATCAATCAACATGAGAGAAACTGAATGAAAAGGAGAAACCTTCTCTTTTGCTAGTTCTTTTTCCATAACTTGCTTCTGAGCTGCAGTCAGTTTCCCCTCTTTTCGTTTCTTTTCAGCAAGTTCTCTTCGAAGTTGCATTTCGGCTACTTGATCGCGGAAGCTGTATGCTTTATTTTCCCGACGCATATTATAGGTTATTTCACCTTCGTCACTGAAAATCAAACCTTGGTTCTGTTTCCTATGAATTAGCAACTTTACATGATTAAATTTACAATATTAAAAAATCACTTCAAGAACATGGCAGCACTTACAATTCTAAAACTTCGGTGTTGTATAGATGACCTTCGGAACACTGGTAAATCAGAACGTGTCTTTCAGGGATCCGAACATACTCGCCAACATCAATTTCAGCTATGCTTTTCTCTATGTAACTCCACAGTCCGTCCCGTAAGGATGGGTGATTAAGTGCCACGAGCGTTATCAAAGCATTGTCTCTGAAGGTGTGAAATTCCATTTTCTCTGACGCTTTTTGAGAAATACAGAAATGCGAATCTTTGAAAGATGAGAAACAGTGTCAGACCGAACGCTACGATCCGGGCAATGAAGAACAAGATTGATCGCAGTTTCCTTGAAAACGCTGCTCTGCTTCAATTGAGATGTACTAGTTTGCCCATGCATCCATCTCAACCACACTGATCCATCAACCTCCACTAAAATATGAAATTAAAAGTTCTGCTGAATATGAATATCGGTACAACTGCAATGAACACTGGCAATGAAAATATGAAAGAGTGCATACCAAGTCTCTGGAGCGAGGCTAGCAGTAAGGTGTGAATGGCAAGCTTATCAAGTTCTGGTCCCTTTGGAGTGAGCAGCAACCGTAGAACCTTTATTTAATCAACTATTGAGAGGAACAAACGCAGTAGAGCCAAACATGTAAACAAAATAGCCAAAACGAATTCACCTGCACATACCACTCGCCAGGGACTGCGAAGGACGAAGTGTCTTGATTAGTGTGCATAACTTTTCGCAAGGTCTGCAACAGAATTGAAATAAGTACACATAAGCCAATATCGCTACGCAGCGGCCACACACCTACCTGATCTACGAATCCATTGACAGTCTCCGTGAATATCGTATCAGCTAATGCTTCAGCAAAATGAGATTCTTCAACTGTGAGGATTCGCTCTAGAGCGAGGGAAGAGCGCTTTCTCACTTGCCAGTGAGGCCAGAATAGTAGAATTGTTAATGATTTCATACACATCGGAGGATAAGAACCAGTCTAAAGGCGATGGCTTCAATTCTGCGCATCCATATCCAAAAGTCAAAAAAAGAAAATGAAGGGAACCCTCGATTTAGGTCCAAGTTACTCCGTAGAAACATATTAGAACAGGAGAGAGAGCTTCAGATAAGAAGAACATAGAGAAACACTCACAGCATTCGAGATCGGCCTTTCAAGGATCATTTTTTCTGTGAGATCAATCCATGCGAAGGCATCATCCGTAGACATCGCTGAGAGGGCTCTGTCCTTAAAAATGC